ATATGTTATGCAACCTAAATATTTTTGTTTAGGGGTTAAAAATTTAATCACTAATTTTCTATACAAATTACGACTAAATGATACGCCAAAATTTAGGTGTCAACAGACCCAAAGTGGGTCTATTTTGTCAAAAAAGTATCTCAAGTGGACAATGTGTTAATTAAGGACCCCAAGTGCCCAAACCAGTGTCAAATAAGGACCTGAGCTCATCGGCCGGCCAAATGTTCGTCGGCCGGTGATCGTGAGACATTTCCGGCGCCAGAATAGGGGTAATTTTGTCCAAAAAAATTCCTCATTTCTTTTTCTTTTCCTTTTCTTTTCCTATCTTCTTCCCTGGTCACGATGACCGGTCAGAGGTTGAGGCCGGTGAGGTGAAACTCTCCGGCCATGGGCGGCGAGGCTTGCTATCGCCGGGTGAGACGAGAGCCGAGCTCGCCATGGCTGGGCGAGCTCGACCTCGCCATTCCACCTCGCCGGCCTCAACCTCTGACTGGTTGCCGGTCACCGGGGAAAAAAATAGGAAAAGAAAAGGAAAAGAAAAAGAAAGGAAGAATTTTTTTGGACAAAATTGCCTCTATTCTAGCGCTGAAAATGTCTCACACTCGCCGGTCGGCGAACATTTGGCCGGCCGGCGAGTTCAGGTCCTTATTTGACACTGATTTGAGCACTTGAGATCCTTAATTGACACATTGTCCATTTGGGATTTTTTTTGACAAAATAAACCCACTTTGGGTCCTTATCGGACATTTTCCAAAAATTTATATATAGCTTCACACGCAAATGAGCCTAGTCGATCTCTGACATTGATTTTGGTGGGCCCCATATAAGACCGACCTCATCTAATAGTTGAAATTTATCGGGATCTTGTGCGGCCAGTTCAGACCAGTGCGGCTTGGATCCGCACTAAAACCACCAGGCCCAACGCCTGGTGACCAACGGGGGAGACTTGACGGTGACATGAGACTTGCAACGCTCTCTCGGTGCATGAAGACTTCAAGTCGTCTCAAAGTCTTTCGAAGAACAAGACAACATGCCAGAGATAAAAGCATACAGAAGAGACATCGTGGGGTTCACTGGGATCCATCCGGAGGAGGACCTTTCTCAATGACGAAATGTGGATTACGCGAATTGAGGCTATCTCGCGATGACGGAATGTGTATTATGCGAGATGGTCGAGTGCTCGACCATTCTCTATAGCCATGGAGGAGCAACAGGAGCACAGGGCTTCCACAATGTGTTTGTCTGTCTTCTTACAAACCTTACAGGGTTTTGTTGATGATCTCTTGGTGTCAGACCAAGATGATGAAGTACAACAATTGCGGCACCTAAAAATAGATAATGATGATTTCCGCAATACCGTGGATACGTCTCCCTGTTTTTATTTCGATGTGCTCTTGTCACATAACATCGTTTGTAATTTTTTTTTCCGATTGGGTCCTTTAAGTATCTTTTTTTTTATTGGTCTGTCTATTTTAAATACTTACGAAAGTGCTACTAACATGGCACTAAGTTGCAGTTAATTGCTACTTTAGCACCACGTGTTATCAGATGATTATTTGGGCAAAAGCCACAAAAAATCCTAAACTATATTTATTGTGACATATTTGCCATAAATTTTTTTATGTGACACAAGAAATCCCAAACTTATACCTGTATGACACATTTACCCTCCGTCAAAATTCTGTCAAAGAGAACAGTTAAAAATCTACCTATATGAATGCCAAAAAGCAAATGGTGTTGACAATAGTAAAATAAAACCGACGTTGTTTTGGCTAAAAAATCATCTAACGGAATTTTGATGGAGGGTAAATGTATTGTATAGGTATAAGTTTATGGTTTTTTCCGAGCATAATTTGGGTTTTCGATGTCAAAAAAAATTAAGGATAAATGTGCCATAGTAGATATAATTTGAGATTTTTGTTGGCTTTTTCCCTAATTATATTTTTAAAAATGAAGAATGGGAATTTTCTTTTAGAAAGAAATAAGTCAAGAAGAGCACCCAATCACGTTGAAGGCATTGCATCTGTCATCAGGTTAGGAAAATGCAATGTCGCCTGTAGAACTCGAGGAACCTGCAACCATAGCCTCCATGGCAACGTTCGTGACCACAGCTCAAATTTGTGTGTGTTCAATAGGTCTTAGTAGAGCCGTAGACCTATTAAAATGGGTCATAAACTTATGACAAGCTAGGTTATTATATTGATTAATTATATTTAGTAAATGTGCCATAAATAAGTTTAGAATGGTAAAGTTCAAAAATAATAGAGGTGTTAAATGCGTTCATGATTTACTCAGACTTAACTTACCTTTATGACTCTCTCTCCCTCACTCGACTCAGACTTACTCACTCTGTGCTCTCATCTTAGTTTGGGTATGGATTTTTTTTAAATTAGATTAAATATAAAAGTATTTTAGCGATATTAATCGGGTCAATAAGAGTTGGGTATGAGTTGGGTCGAGTATGAGTCACTAAATATGTATTGCATGAAAATTGGTTAAAACGGATTGTCAATTTAGGTCGGATTCTTTTCGACCCGATCCATCCATTAGATGAGTGCAGCCTCTAGAATCCTAAGGAAGGAGCAAAGGTGAGGAGTATGGGAATGCCACATGGGGATGGTGTTTCCGTCGTCCATCAAGGGCATTATCGTGACTTCAGTTTCAAAGTTATGCATGGTACGTAAGGAAGCCGTAGAAATAGAGCAGAGGTCCGTTACTCGAAGGTAAACTACAGGAAAACCTACTAGGAAAAAGCACCCAGCTGAAGCACACTTGGATGTTTTTGCATTTGACTAGAATTTTAGCCTTAGCACGGGGACAACAAAATCTTCTGACTGCTTTAATATCTCTCCCTTAATTTTGTACAAACTTTTTATTTTCAATCTCTCCATAAGAGATTTTTTTAAATACTTTGAAAAAAAATGTCAGTCTGAAATTACAACTGCAAAATCAATTAAAAGTGTAAATTGTTATCTTTATGTCAATCTCGTCCATGACTATTTGGTAGCAAATAATTGAGACTGCTTCTTCACACATTTGTTTGAGATATTATATAAGACCGCAGTCAATGACAAAAAAATAAGGTGAGTCTAAGCCATTAATTTGCAAAATTTAGGGAGAAAGACAAAAAAGTATTACTTATTTCTAGCCTTTAATATAGGTTATGACTTTGTTTGTTTCGTACAATGATAAATGGTTTGAAAAATATTTTTCTAAAATTGATCGTTTGTATGGCTTGCAATAATAAGCTAATGAAAAATATTTTCATTATTGATAATAATTTATATCTAAATATTTTTGTAGACGATGAAATATTATTCGTTCAGTCATTTGTGTAAGCGATATAACCAATCATTTTTAGGAAAATATTTTCCAAATCATTCATTTCCGCAAAACAAATAGACCCTAAGTATTCCTTTTTTTTTTTTGGTTGACTACCCTAAGTATTCCTTGCTAGCTAGTTTTTTTTGTCATTGCAGTTTATTAGTATCAAACTTTAAAACAATTTATTTGTTCTTTCATCTTCAATGGCAGATTGAAGGGAAAAGTACCAAAAAAAATCATAAACATATTGCATTGATACCAATTTAGTCTTAAACCTTTTAATTAAACCAATTTAGTCCTAAACCTTTTCACATTGGTACCAATTCAGTCCATCCGGCCAATTTAGGCCGGAAATTGCTGACATAGATGTTGGCTGTCTAACATGACATGGCTGGTGTGGTCATCCTACGTGATATGGCCAGCGTTGACATTGATATTTTTAATAATATTTTGAATTTTTTAATAATATTTTTAAAAATCCCCTTTTTTCTTTTTTTCATCCTCGCTAGAGCCAGTGAGGGCTGTGACGCCTTCACTGACCCTCGCCTGTGGCCAATAACCGGTCTTGCTCAAGTACTCGTCGCAGGCCAAAGAAGAAAGAGAAAGAAAAAAAAAAGGAAAAAAAGGGGAAAAAAAAGAAAAAAAGCTTTTTTTAAAAAATTATTAAAAAATTCAAAAATTTATTAAAAATGTCCACGTCAGCGTTGGTTGTCCGTCGACCGTGCCACGTAAGACAGTTGGCATTTACATCAGTGATTTTCAACCTAAATTGGCCGGATGAACTGAATTGGTATCAATTTGAAAATGTCTATGACTAAATTGGTATAATTGAAAGTTTAGGACTGAATTAGTACTAATACAATAGGTTTAGAAATTTTTTGGTACTTTCCCCGCGATTGTATATCTCGATGTTGATGTCGTAAAAGTTATTTCTTAATGTTTTTGAAAATAAAAAATTGGTTCTACAATAAAGTTACTATCAAGTAAATTCCCTGATTCTTCTTTCTTGATCTCGTGATCCTCTACTGTAGCACCACAGAGTCCAATAATTTTGATTATCACCGTTTATCACATCTATAAGTAATCACATAATGGTTGGAAAACGTAATATTTTCTGAGTTTTGAATGTGTTCGTCTTTCCCACTCTCACTAACATCTAAACGGAAATTAGATTAACTGAACTATAAATAAAGAGTAAGTTAAGTAAATTGAGGTTTTTTTTTCCATCATATCAAATAAGATCATATTATCTTTTCCTAGAAATGGAAATTATATTAAGGTTAAGCACGATATAATTAGCAAGAAAGTAAAGACTGAAAGTGAATGGAGATTTTTACATGCCATAAAAGTGAACTGGGATTAGATTAAGAAAAAAAAAAGATAAATAGGAGTGAAAGTAGATTTTCTTTGGGACATATTATTATTAAATGTAAGGACAAAATAAAAAGAAGAAAAGATAACGGGAAAGAGAGACATTACAATGACAAAATGGCCATATCTCAACCTCATATAAACTTGCACAAATGCTTGCACAACTATAAGTCCAAAGCGAATGGCAAACATAACATATATATAGAATACCACAATCAACCCAAGAAGTCGTCATGGACAATTAATAGACATGTTACTACAGTACTAAAGATTACATGCTGAAACCTGCTGAATCCATTTTTAGATCAGAAAAGACATCTCGACGTCATATGTGGGCTGGCCTCGCCAGTAATTGTAGTCTCAAGGGGGAAGAGTTGTTCTGCATCCACTACGTCTCCGGTCTCTTCATTGTTTTCTTCAATTGCCGAGCTTGGGTTAATATCAGCGAGTTGCCGAGCCACATCGCTCATTGCTGGCCTGTTCGCACCGCTTTGGTCCAAGCACTTCACTGCAATCTCAGCAACCATTCTTATTCTCTCCATTTCATCTTCACCAGAGCCCTCAAAGTTTATGACATCGGAGAGTGTGTTATTCTTCACGGAAGAGATGAAACGATAGATAGTATTGATCGACTCTCCGGACTCGGTAACAAAAAGTTCGTTTCCTACGAGCAACTCCACAGGGACAACTCCTAAGCTGTATACATCACTCTGAGTTGTTAGCATACCGGTGATTAAATATTCCGGATCGATGTAGTCCAACGAGTCTTGCTTTTGAGTGGCTACGATATGTCTATGCTTTGGTGATATGAGTACCGAAGTTCCAACATCAGATACTTTCGCCGGGTACTTCTCATCTAAATAGTTTTGATCCACAAGCATGTTCACCGACTTGATTTTGCCATGAACGATGGGGGGTTTTATGCTGGAGTGCATATAATTGAGTGGGGTTAATTCCAAAAAACAACACCAACTTTAAGTAGAGGGAAAATTTAGGCTTGAACTTTTTTTATTCCATAAAAAGCAACAACTTTAGGTCGAGGGACAATTGTGGCCTAAACTTTTTTTTGTCCCATAAAAAGTATCAACTTTAGGTTGAGTGATAATTCTAGCCCTAAATTTTTTTGTCTTATAAAAAATCACTAACTTTCACCCTAATCCCAAATCTGGCCTCCCGTTGACTTTCTATCTGAAGTCATCCTTATTTGAGGAAAAAGGTTATGGTGGTGAGCTTGACGAATCTCGTCTATGGCGTTTGTCGACGGATGGTGATCTATAGCTTTAGATTATGAAAAAACAACAAAATCTGGTCAAAGAAATTCAATTTGAAGATATTTTTGACTTGCTAGTAAAGTAAAAGAGATGAACAGTTTCATCATTATTCTTTAAGCTGTGGCTCAGAGAATAAGACAATGAATAGTGCTTTAAATCCAGTCAGCAAGCCATGTGGATTTATTGCTAAGGTGGAATAGTCAAGTTGGATAATCAATGATTCTAAGTCAATAGATGTCAAATTTGGGATTTAAGTGAAAGTTAGTGCTTTTTTATAAGACAAAAAAAAATTGGAGCCAGAATTGTCACTCGACCTAAAATTGATGCTTTTTTGTGGAACAAAAAAAGTTCGGGCCAAAATTGTCCCTTGACCTAAATTTAGTACTTTTTTATGGGACAAAAAAAAGTTTGGGTAAGAGTTATCTTTCGACCTAAAGTTGATGTTTTTTTTTTTTTGGAATTAGGCCTAATTGAGTGCAAGAGTAGCTTCAGCGACTATTCTGAAGTGGTCTTCCCATGATTTTAAGATGGTCGACTCATCCTGATGGATGTGTTGGAAGAGGGTGCCATTTGGAATGTATTCATAAACCGGCAATGGTATTCTGGTCTCCAAGCATATGCCTTTGAGCTTCACCACATTTTTGTGGCTTCTTTTCATGAGAAATTTAAGTTTACGCTGGAAATCCCCCTTTTTTTGAGACTTGTGCGCATCTTTAGGCTTCCTGACCACAACTACGTCGTCCCCCTTTATGTTCCCTCTGTGGACGGAACCGAAATCGTCATCCTTGAGCTTATTGCTATCATCATAGTTGTTGGTTGCTTTTCCCAGTTTTGTCTTCGGAAAGATTTGAACTCCCTGTTGTTCCAAGATCTCTCCTCGATTTCGTCTGAAATTTATGTTTCTCACCCTCCGCATGGCTAGTAATTGACTGAACCCAATTCTATCTAATATGTCGTCGCTTCCACCTCGATCTGAGATGTCGTCGCTTCCACCTCGATCTGAGATGTCGTCGCGGCTATCATCTTCACTGGTACTAGAGAAACTAGGGGTGGAGAAATTAAGCACCATCTTGGAAAAATCCAGTCCTTGAATACAAACCGATCGTCTGAGCCTGTATTCCGTAACTATATATCTAGAGATTTGCTTGGACAAGCACTTTCTGTTTAGGGTTAATACCACGAAAAACCCCAAACTGGTACACCTATGATAATTTTACCCCGACCTATTTTTTTGATAAAAAAAAAACCCCAAACTGGTACACCTGTGATAAATTTACCCCAAACTATTTTTTTGACACCCAAAAATCCCAAACTGGTACACTTGCTACAATTTTACTCCGAACTAATTTTTTAATATTATTTTTTATTTTTTTGAATTTTTTTGTTAATTTTTTTATTTTTTCTTTTCTTTTTCCCTTCATCTTCAACCTCTGCTCAGTCGCCAAATCGGCGATTGGCCGCTGGCGAGGCTCGACCTCGCCGTTGCAGGGTGAGGCCGACCTCGCCAGTTGCCGGCGAGATCGAGCCTCGCCAGATCTGGCGAGGGCTTGGCCCCGCCAGCCGCTGGTGAGGCTCGACCTCGCCCAACGCTGGCGAGGTCGGCCTCGCCCTGCAATGGCGAGGTCGAGCCTCGCCAGCGGCTGGCGAGGCCAACCTCGCTGCCTTCCGCCTCTGGTCGGCCGCAGGTCCGGCCGAAGGTTGAAGATGAAGGGAAAAAAAAAAGAAAAGAAAAGAAAAGAAAAATAAAAAATTCAAAAAAATGAAAAATAATATTAAAAAATTAGTTCGAGGTAAAATTGTTACAAATATAAAATTATTACAGAAGTATCAATTTGAGATTTTTCGTGATATTAATCATTCTGTTTATTGGTGTAAGGATAACTTTCGGTTGGTGCGAACGAAACGAGAAGAAAAGTCAGGGTAACTGTGGCTGATGTGCATTGCCGGCTCACTCCATAGTCTTCCCTTGACTCTGAGTAGCTTCGTGGAGAGAGAAGGGGAGAGGAGAGAGAATGAGGGAGATTGGCTTTGGTTGCCTCAAAAGCCACCATATTTCTACGAGGACTAAGTCTCGATCCTCTTACCAAAAAATAAAGAAATAGTGTTGACCCGATTCTGCCGTTGTCCACAGGTTGATTCTTGATGTTTCAATCTTTGTAACGCACTGAATCTTTTAAAAATTCCAACGAATGAGCTATAACGATGATTTCGGCCGAATTATTTAAATTGAATCCTCCCTCGTGATAAAAGAGTGCTTGTGGTAGGAGAGTGATGACCATTTGAAGGTGGATCTTATTTCTGAATTTTTTAACTAGGTCACTTCCATATAATGTGAACTTTTGGTATGGTAGCGAGTTTTTGCGTAACACGCCACAAATTAGGCTAGAAATCCCCCTTCGTTAGAGACTTCTGCACATTTTTAGGTTTTCTTGACCGCGACCACGGTGTCCCGCACTATTGTCCCCTCTATAGATGGGACCTAAACTGCCCTCGCCAAGCTTATGGCTATCATCGTAGTTGTTGGTTACTTTTGCTAGCTCTCACTCCGTACAGAATTTGATGTGAGACACTGCGACGAAATTTATCGTGTGCAAATTGAACGTTTAATCATTTCGTGAATAATTCGAAATTTTAAAACAGAATGATGTTAAAAGTTGTCTAACAATTTATCTTTATCACGGAGTCCTCCTTCGGACAATCATTTTTTATATTGTCTATTGCGCATCTCTATTAGGGGTGATCGGTTTCCGGTCTAAGTAAAATTAGGAGAACCGGATCGGTTGGTCCTAGGGTCGGGAACCGGTCACTTAGGGTTTAGTTTTTTTTTGGTCAAATACTTAGGATTTAATTCAGATTTTATTAATTTTTATTAATGAATTTATATCAATGAAGTTCACTTAGGATTTATTTCACATTTTACTAATTTTTATCAATGAAGTTCACTTGTGATTTAATTCACATTTTACAAATTTTTTTTGAAAAAAATGTCGGTCCAATCCGATTCGGTTCCCCCTTGAAATCGGAAACCGAACCATCCAAATACCGATTCTACTTTTAGGAATCGAGAACCAGATTGACACTTCTTGAAATCGGATCAAATCGATCAACCCGATCCTATCCAATTTGGGCGATTTCCGATCCGTATGATCCGTTTTTCGCGCCTCTAATCGCTATCGAGGACCAATCCAAAGTAACGTGTTTCGCGGCAAAAGTGAAACATAGACAACCACCTTTATATCAACCTTTGAGGGGACCTTCCCCTTTCCAGTTGGCCTGACCCTACACCCAAACATTAACAACATGATCCGCATGTAGATGAGTCCCAATGGATCTCCAACGTTAATTTACGTGGGCTCCATATAAGACCGGATCATCTAACTGCTGACATTCATTGGGATTTTGTGCATTTGGTTCATGGAAGTGTTGCTGGGATACGCACTAAAACCTCCGGGCCCGATGCCTGGTGGCCGACCGCATGATGCTAGTACGGGAAGACTTTGGTGACAATGCCCGAAGACTTACAAGTCGTCTCGAAGTCTTTCGAAGAACACGACAAAATGCGAGAGAAAATGTAAAGAAAAGAGAAACTGTGAGATTCCAAAGAAAATAATTACGATCATCTCCACGTAGAATTATCTTTTTCTTTTGTTACTCCGGGAACTTTTTAGAAATTTTCTAAAAGAAGTTAGCTTTTTACATCTTGAATAACCGCGTTCTAGTGTTTGTAAAAAGTAGGCCCCTTAAATGTATATAAAAAAATATAGTGTATTTTCCATGTAGATTGGACATGTACTCGTAACCATATTTAGGGTCATACAAAGATGTATTAAAATCATCAAAAACTGTAATCTTGCAATAATATCGAAAATTTTATAATGATAATGCGATAGTATCTGATTAAATGAGAGAGACATCCAAAAGTACCTTCGTAATAGTAGTTCCAAACAAAGGAAAAAAAATTGAAAAAGGGATTTAATTGATGGTTATTAAATTGTGCACGTCAGTGCCGATTGTGCCACATAAGACAGTCGATATATCCATGTCAGTGATTTCCGGCTTAAATTGGTAGAATGGGCTGAATTGGTACGAATACGAAAATATTTAGGATTAAATTAATCCAATTGAAAAATTTAGGACTGAATTAATGCAAATGAAATATGTTTAGGACTTTTTTGATATTTTTCCCCCAATGGAATAGGTATATGACTTTTCTGACACTTTTCCCGCAGTAATTAAGATTATTACTAGGTGAAGGCCCTACTTAGGCGGTGAATAGAAAAACGTTCGTATTTTAATTTTGATTAAAACAATCTCTTTTTTAAAAAAAAGGATAATTGACTTGTTACCACAATCCAAAAAATCTTGACACAGAGTCCAAAACAAGTTATTAGTTTTTTTTTTAACGGTTCAAAGTATTTGGATTGTTTGACTTAAATAAATGTCACGATTACATGTAATTCGTTTGTTCACATGCATCTACTAAAGTTCCTCAATAGTATAGCTAGCGAGGGCTATTATGAATGCGAGATGTTGTGACAAAATTTATTACATACAAATCAAATGTTTAATTACTCAGTAAATAATTCGATATTGTAAAACAAAAATTTGACCGAAAGTTGCCCTGAATGGTTTCGATCATAGAGTCCTTTCGAGCTGTCATTTTTCATATTAGATGCAATGTCTTTTACGTCCCTTTCTCTTGACCAAACTAGAGTACCACGTGTTACACAACAAAATTTAAACAAAGAAAAGCACCTTGGATTATATATGTGGGGAGACCTTCACCTTTTCGTGCCGGCTTCGGACCCAGTTGGCCCCGCTCCTGGACCCAAGAAAAAAACATAATATCATGCTTTGCACGTGAACGAGCCCAGTCGATCTCCGACGTTGATTTATGCGAGACCCATACAAGACTGACCTCATCTAACGGTTGAAATTTATCGGGATCTTGTGCACCCTGTTCATACAAGTGCGGCTTGGATCCGCACTAAAGCTGCCGGGCCCAATGCCGGTGACCAACAGGGGAGACTTGGCGCATGAAGACTTCAAGTCGTCTCGAAGTCTTTCGGAGACCAAGACAACATGCCAGGAAAAAAAAAAGCATATGGAAAAGACGTCGTGGGGTTCCCTGTGATGCATCCGGAGGATGACCTTTTTCGATGACGAAACGTGCATTATTACGCGAAATGGTCGTCGCTCGACCTTCTCTATAGCCATGGAGGAACAGTAGGAGTGCAGGGCTTCCACAAAGTGCTTCTCAGTTTTTTTATAACCTCGATTTTTTGTGGATGATCTCTCGGTCTAGCAGCAAGATGATCAAGTATAACAATAGCGGCACCTAAAAATAGATGATGATGTTGTTCGCGATGCCGTGGATACATCTTCCTATTCTTGTTTCAATGAGCTCTTGTCACGCAAGATTTTTGTTAATTTAATCAATACTACTGTTATAGGTTTTGAGTTGTTTAAGTCTTGAAAAATAGTGAAAGTTGAATTCATGCAGTATAGATGTATCTCTATACTATAAAAAAGAATTTATGGTTACGTCCAGAGGGAATTATTTCTTTCACTCCGGGAACTATTATTTTCTCTAAAAGAAGTCACTTTTTACATATCAGATTATAGATATAGTGACATTCTAGTGTTAAAATCATATTATAATAAATATGTCGATATTATTTGTTATAAAAATTTTAATATGATTTCTTAGTACATATAGCATTGCAAGACAAAGTAAAATGAGCTTTACGGATTATCACCATTTGGGTAAGAATTACTACTTAGTAGTTTTGGACCTCCCGAGGCACACTGGTGACAAGTTCGAAACTTTCTAGTTGCTTCTCGACCTCAGGAATCCTTAATTCGTTTGTTGTGTATGTTAAACTATGCGGTGTTATAGGATTATCCCGATTATAATCTCACTATGTTGTGGTAAGCTGACGGTGATAGGTCCGCTCGAATTAGCAGCATTTCCAATGGAACATCATATTGCGTGTATGGAAATCTTACCGTAATGCTTAGAGGAAGTCATCAACATT